AATAATTAAACTGATCAATTAAAAGTAATTAAAAAAATTTTTAAATATATAAATATTTATTTTTATATAATAAATATCAAATTTTTAATTATATATAAAATTTCAAGTATTATAACTTTTTAAAATTATAATTAATAAAAAATCTATTTTAATAAAATTATAACTTAAATAAAAATAAAATTATTTTATTTTTAAGTTATAGTACTTTTTATATTACATATAAATATTAAATATCTTATACTATATTTATTATATAAAAAATATAACTATAAAGAGATGTAACTATAAAAAGATATAACTATAAAGAGATTTAACTATATATAAATTTCTTATAAGCTAAAATTAAAATATATTATATATTTAAAAAGAAGTTATATAATATATATTTAAAAAAATATACTTAAAGAAATATAATTATATTATTAATTAAATATAATAAAATAATAATTAAATAATTAATATAATAAAATTTATTATTTAATAATTAAAATTAATATTTAAATTAATTTAAGTAAATATTTTAAACTTAATATAATATATAATATATAGAATTTTTTAATTTTAAATAAAAATTTATAAAAAAAATTAATTATTATTTAAATAATAAAAAAATAACTTTATATAATAATATAATAATTTCTATAATTATAAAATTAAAAAATCAATTTTTTTAATAAAAATTAAAATTTTTTCTTTATATTAAAATTTATAAGTTTATTAAGAAATAATTTTTATTTTATATAAAAATAAATTTATAAATTATAAGTTATAATTTAATATATATTTTTTTAAATTTTCAGAAGAGTTATTCTATTAATAAATTTATTATAAAATTTTTTTCTAATTAAAAAATATATATTAAATTATAACTTATAAATTTTATTTAATATAAAAATAAAAATTATTCTCAAATATATTATAAAAAATAATTTTAATAAGTTTATTTATTAAATTATAAGATATTTTTAATAAATTTTCATTTAAAAATATAATTAAAATTATTTTTTATATGAAACTTTTATATATAAAATATGTATATAATTTTTCTAATGATTTTTATATTATTTGAGTAATTTCTTATTAAATTACAATAAATTTCCAAATTCTGATTTTTTTATTACATACTATATTTATTCAAAAAATCTGTTCAAATTATTAAATATCAAAATATATTATTAATATGATTTAAATTTTTTTCAAAATTTTGAATTTGAACTTGAATTCAGTTTAATTTAAATATTTAATAATAATATAAAAAATAGATTTTATTTATAAATAATAATAAATAATTTAGTAAAAATATATTAAACTTCCATTTAATATTCTATCCTGAAAATTTAATATTCTAATAATTTATTTTCAAATAATTTAACTTTTAATAATTTAACTTTCTAATAATTAAAATATTTTGATAATTCATTTCAAACCATTACTTATTTTTCCTTTTAACTTAGTAATTCTTTATATTATTTTAGAATTATAAAATAATAAATCTAAATATAAGAGTTACTGTATATATAATATTTATAAATAAATTTTTGAATAATTTACTTTTCAATTTGCCATGTGATGTTTACAAAAATAAATTGCCCATTTTATGATGCAATATTTCAACATTTAATGATCCGATAATAGCAAAATACTATTATTCATTTTCACTTGAATCGGGATCACTGCGTATCGAGATATTACGTCCGATTCGAGCGAAAATATTATCATTTGATTTGTTTCGACTAGATAAATCAAAAGTATGATTTATTTTAATTTTGGCGTAGATATTCAATAAAGTTTATTGGCCTATAAAACACGTTTGTGTTGTTCTTTGTGCTCGGAAAGTTAGTATGGGGTTGGATACTTTTGTGATTGACTGTATTACAGTGGTGGACGTCCGAAATGATCAGCATGTTATTTCCCAAAGGATTCAAGTTGCAATTGTGTCCCGAATATTAAAGCAAATTTGATATAAATAAAATTTATTTGATCAATAATATATAATTTAATATTCAGTTGAATAGCCTTTAACAGCTCTAACTCTACGATACATGCTATCGACTAAAGTTTCAGGCTCAAGTAAAAAATTCAGCAGTGGGGCAGTATTTGATGTGACTAAGCCATTTGCAATTATATGGATAATTGGTCTAAATTTCTACGTCTTCGTAATTCACCAGCTGGAATAAATAGTCTATGAGTATCAACACAAATATGATATATATTAATATAGAAATCATGATTGAATATAACCGCGAATCATAATCGGATCGCCTGGCATTGGAAAAACACAATTTTCGCTATATTTTGCTTTCGATATAACTCGAATAGATACCACGCAAAAGACAGTATTGTTGACATAACCCGAAATTTTGCAAGGGTGCCGGTGGTCCATTGATTGGCATTCCTTGAAAGTATGGCACATGATCGCTTGTGAAAAGGCGGCAAATTTACAGTGCGGCGCTTAATCGATGATAAGTCACAGCCTGAACACCTGCAGGGACACCAATATGGTTTGATCTTATTAATGAGGGTTTTATAAAGCTCTCAGAAAGGGCAATGTTGATGCTCTTGCGCCTATCGGATGACAATCATAATATAAACGTGATATTGTTCTTCATTCATTAGCCTTATATCTATTATTATCAATCTAACTTTGCTCAGGTTATTTAGGAAGACGTCTTCAAGAAATTGAAGTCAACTGAACAATGACCTACCTACCAACCCATTATATTTCGTTGTCCCAGATATGTACAATATTATTGTTTGCAGAAGTATGTTACAACAAAAGACGCCGAATGCGTAGGATGAGATAAGATGTTATGGATTAAAAGTAATGTGATTCGACACATTTTCCTGATCAAATTGCCTGTTGGGTAGAGATTTATTTATTATCGATTACGTTCCCGCGTACTAATAACAGCGATATATATATATATATATATATATATATGTCGAAACTTATTATTTCAATCCGAACAGACAAAAAAAGAAATGAGTTGCTTAAAAAATTCTGGTACCCACAAAAAATAAATTTATCTGATGATCTCCAAACAGCACCACGTTTTATAAAACAACTCTTGGAGATCATAGACATCATCATTGCGCCATTTATGTATCTTGTAAAGGAAACATGTGAATTAATGATATTTCACACGATCGTTCATAAAGTTTTTTATGTTGCGTGATCGATTTCGTTTTACATGTGAAAATTAGCGTTCTATACGAATAGAAAATTGGCATGTGCCCCATACAAATATTATTATTAAAAGGGGTGTTATTATTTTTGTTGCTTGAATATAATCTTGAAAAGTATGGATTCTAAAAAAACTGTTGATGAAATTTTGCCGGGTGAGTACTTGTACATTTGCGAAATGGAATAAAAAAGAAGAGCATTTTCACTTTCTTCTCTGTAGAGAAACACTTCAACCATTCTTATTTAATTTATCTATTTATATCCTTACCTATTACACGTTCAAGACATCATTCATGACCTTCTTTCATATGACGAATTGAAGCACAAAAAAGTTCTCGATCAATATTTCGTCGAGAATGCCAAACTCACGCACCCGCTGTTGACGATTGAAGGCACATATAACATAAGAAAGGTGTTTCGTGTATGGACTTCGTTAAACGCCGAAGAGCCGACAATAGGGGAAACTTATGTTATCGAGTGAGCCTATCTTTCATTATGAATATCACAGAAAACAATAAAAGCCAGTGTTCTCGAATCGCTTAAATTAGTCCTAGTTATTCATTTCTAACCCTTTTGATGGACTATATAGTGGCCAAACGGCCGTGGTGCACACAATCCAACACTTTCGACCACGCATCATGTCCTTCATACATCTACAAGTCCCCGCGATCACCACCCTAAAATTCCGGAAAACCGAAGACGACCGAATAATTGAAATCTACCACCAAGAAGACACGTGGACTCTCGAGGGCTTAATTCAAAGTGTGCCAATTGTGCATTGGTGGTATGAGAACATTGTGCGCGTCGTCATGGGAAAATTATTTAGTGGCGTCGGATCGTTTATCTATACGGCGAATAAAGCTTCTTCGCGTTTGAATTCGAATGTTGGCGAAATTAGGGTCATGTCGTCGGAGGTTATCGCCCCGTATCAGCAACGAGCCCAGAAGATTATTTCGCCGTATTCGGAACAGGCGACAAAGTTTGTCGAGCCGTATTCGGCCACTGCACGAGATATTATTAATAAGGGGTCGAATAAGGTGCATGATTTGACTGTAAAGACGAAAGCTATTATCGAGAATGCGCAAGAGGAAGTTATTTCAAAGATTTCGCAAGTTAGAGGTTCTTCTTCGCCGCCACATCATACTCCTTCATCTCCCACCACTCTTACTTATCCAGTTACTGACTAATTAAATTATTAATTAATCAATAATTGTTGTCATCTATAACTTACACTCATCTTTCTCTCGTCATTAAATTACTTCTATCTTGGATCAAATGATGTATGCAGTCAAACCTCGTTTATATCCCCTCCCCGGTATTATGTCTTAAAGATTTGAGCTGGGACAAATGTCTTTATATTTATACTCAATTCTAGCTACCTTTTATATTTCAGTAAATTTATATAGTACCAAAGGCGAGATATAAAAGAGGTTTGACTGTATTTTATTTTGCTATATTCAGAATATATTTTGAATATTTATTATATTATGAAAAAATAGAAAAAAAAATTGGTTAATATATCGAAAGAAATAAACTTGTAAATTATGTAAAGGTTTGCATTACGTATTAAGTTTCTTATCTAACCATGCGAAAAACAAACGGAATGTTTGGGTCATGTGATTCCAATTGGTTCCGACCAATTTAAAATTTTGACCAACATTGTACGAAACATGTCAAAAACATAACTTAAAAAATCTTTCAAAATTAGAAATATAAATTTATTATTCTTATTAATTAAAATATTATTGTAATATTATATTTATTATCTTAATCTTATATTTTATATTTTTATTTAAAAAATATAATTTAAATAATAAATAAAATAATCTAGTTAAAATATATAAGTTAAAATAGTTAAATTATATTAAAAAAAATAGTAAAAATATTTTAATAAAATTGACTTAATGATATTAACTAGAATAATTAAATTAGTAAAATTAAATAATATTATAAAAAATAAAAATATAATTAAATCTTTTTATAATCATAATACTTAAGAAAGTAAAATTAAATAATTATAAGAAATTTTTTAATTATAATTATAAAAAATTCAAAAAGAATAATTATAAAAAAATATAATTATAATATATTTTAATTATTATTTAGATTATTTAAATATTTTATAAATTATACTTACAGTGACGACCAAAAGTAATGACTCCTGGACTAAATTTACTAATAAAATATAGTGAAAATTGAAACATTCCTCGTGTTACTATTAAAAAATAAAAATCTTTGCGATATTCTGTATTGATTTTCCAATGGATTAATTAA